AATGAGAGATAATGGATCATTTTCGCTCTTGGATAGGGAAACCTTTACGCACAGACATCAATTAGTCTATAAATATATACTTTTGTTTGTTAAGCGCAAATATTCGTTTCAAAACTATTTCTAAATTCAGTTCTAATTTCTAGCAAACGAGTAAATGAATAATAATAGCAAAATGTGCTCAAAAACCTGAGTTATATCCTAAAATACATGCTTTGCCCCATATGGTCTAAAACCTGACAGGTGGGCAAATCTAAGCTTGTTTTTAATAAAACTAATATACATTTGGATATAATAAATAATACTGCTAAAAATAATAACATTACACAAAAGCAAATTGTTATGAATGAACTGAAAAAGCCTCCAGAGATGAAGAAGACATAAAAGCAGTGGTTTTTCATATTTATGTAGGCTAGAAAATAATATGTTTTGTAATATTTTAATCCTTTATATTTATATTCTATATCTATTCTTATTACATCCTATATATATCCTTAATATTTACATTTTTTCATATATAAAGATATTTGCCTATTGCTCTCTTGTGCGTATTAAGCAGTGCGTAAGCGAGTTTAGACCGGGTTAGTTTTGGTCTAATGAAAAATCTATTATAGTTTCTCAAAATAGCAACGCGCCAGCAGTGTGCCTCAGAACGCCTTCCTTTTTAGACCAGATCGCCTATGGGCGCACAAATGAGCGCTAATGCATTTGCTATTTAAACAGCGTAGCGCAACACCTCAAAACGACTCTTGCGCCAAGCTTAAACTACCAAATGACTACTGCATCACACCTTGCGCCACACTGCGCCGGGTGTATGATAGGGCCCTAGAAGTAGAAAATGACAGTGTCAATAGCTTTCAGATTGTGGTATTAGATAGCAGTCTTAGGGCATTTAGAATGGAAAGGAAGATTTGAGGCCTGTGCACACAGAGACGTTTTTTTGCTCGCGTTTTCCTTCAACGTTTAACGCCTCGTGGCTACATAAAGGCCGTCAATGTGATTGTGCACACCAACGTTCAAAACGGCAGGCGCAAAAGCGTCATTTTAAAAAAAACGCCTCATGCTTGTTTTTTTTTGTTTTGACGCACGACGTCAAAACCTTCTCCACCAATCAGATTGCCACTTTTGTTCATGTGCACAGAGCTGCTGAAGTTACCATAAACAGCATTTGGAGACGCTCAAGCACAAAACTGTCAATGCGAGCGCACTTTGAAGAAGATGCCCAGAGGCGATATGAATGTGGAGCTGCTTATTGCTCTGTGAACAATAATCATTTCTTCATCACTAGAGCAGGAGCTGCTGCTTGAACCATCCATGCTTGTTCAAGTCACCAGTAAATTTAGCAACAAGCGTGTGAACTTCCACTCCTCCACTTCTTCTGTGTTATAAGCGGGTGTCAGAAGCTTATAGTTGTGAAGCGCCATCTAACGTCAAAAGAGTGATTTAGCATACTCTTCTGCTTGACGCCAGTGAAAAGCGTTTGGGTTTGAACACTGAAAAACGTCTCGTAAAACGCTGCCAATAAACGCAAACTAAAAACGTCCCAGTGTGTAGGAGCCTTAAGGCTAAAGTAAAAAAGTTTATGATCAGAAATGCCAGTTTCAGAAGCAAAAATGGAAGTGATATCCCCCTTTGATGTACATATTAGATCAAGGGTGTGAACACGGGTATGGGTAAGAAAGCAGACGTGTTGAGTCAGATTAAAACATTCAAAAACAGACAGTAACTGGGTGGTGTTAGAGCAGGCAGTATCACCATGAATATTGAAGTCAAAGTGCTGGAGGAAAGGGGATGACAATGAGCAAGCCAGGGTTAGCAGTTCACTTGAGTTCAGAAAAAAAAAAAAAACTGGACAAAGCTTTTGGAGGACGGCAGTGCAAGATAATTGTGAGACAGTCAGCTTTGATAACCATATATTCAAATGAGTTGGTGCTGTGAAAGTCTAGTTGTTTTAGTCGAATATCATCCCAATAAATGACGGCAAGACCACCCCCTTTGCCATGCAGTTTGGGACGGGCAAAATACTTGCAACCATCGGGAGCAAGAAGATTTAACTGGAGAAAATCAGCGGGGGCTTGCCAGGTTTCGGTGAGAAGGAAATGTCAAGCTCATTGTCAATTATGATTTCATTAAGATAAGAGTCTTTGTCCGATATTGACCGACAGTTCAGAAGCGCAAAGTGACAATGTACGGAATTCAGATTAACGGTATGATGCTGGTTAAGAGTGGGATAAATTAGTGAACGATGAAGAATAGTATGGTCGGCAGGCAGTTGTCTGTATGTGGACGGTCTATGATCAGTCCAGATCATATTTCATATTCGGTTTAGCCTATTTTTCAGTAACCTACAGATTCGTTAATAATGTATTTTATAAACTAATTGTTTATAAGGACTAAGCTATTGCTATATAATAAATTAGGCTAATTAATACATGAAGACATTGAACTCTGGTAGGAAAACACATCACATCCATGTAATGAAGTACTGTTGAGTGGTATCGGTGCGTGGTATCGGCCTTTCATGTCCGATACAAGTATGAGTATTTTATGTATTTTTATAACTATTACCCAATACTCGATACTGGTATCGGTGCATCCCTAGGTATAGGTGAATTGCATAAATTAAATTAACAGTAGTTTATGTGTGTGAATTAGTGTGTATGGGTGTTTCCCAGTGTTGGGTTGCAGCTGAAAGGGCCTCCCCTGCGTTAAACATATGCTGGATGAGTTGGCAGTTCATTCAGCTGTGGCGACCCCTGAAAAATAAAAGGACTTACCCATAAATGAAACGAATGAGATAAAAACAACAAAATCAAAATGACTGCTATTGTTGTTCTAATGTTAATTGAAATAAATTGCCTTGAAATATTTTTGGAAAATGTAATTAAAAAATAAGTCAAGACAAAATATCACTAATTAGGAGTTTTACTGTTTTAAGATGTAATAATTTTTCAAATTTGTCAAGGTAAGTGTATGCAAAGTAGAGTTTTTTTTTTAAATCACTGAATAAATAATGAATGAATTAATGGAAAACTAACAACGTAAGAGTAAAAGCTAATATGAAATGTTAATGTCGATGTAAAACATATGTTTATTTTGATAGGGCATACTATGCTTTGGGTGAACAATTAATCCGAGTTTGTTAATCCACTGAAAAAAAAAAAAGTTTGCTTGGATAATCTTCAATTGAAGTTCGACCATTTGCTTATGCGTTTCGACGGCAGTCCTTCTCTGTCAGTTTGATGCTTTCGCTACAATATTTTTTAGCCATGCCCTCTATTATGATTAGTTTAATACTAGGTACTGATGCGCAAAATGCGACTCCCACCCCATAATATTCAATTTCCGTTAAGGCTGATTTATACTTCTGCGTCAAGCGCACACATATGCTACGGTGCAGTCTACGCATCTACGCTTATCGGCATAACCCACGCCGCATGCAAAGCGCGTAGCTGTGCATTCATAATTCTGCGTGCTGTTTCTGTTGCTCTACAATAACACTTCCAAAACTCTAGTTGGCAATGAGGTTTTTATGTTCCTCTGTGTCGAGCTTCTTTGCTGGTGTTTTTTTTTTTTTTGAACACTTCCTTAATGTACAAGTGGTTCAAACTCTTTTTGAGGCTGGAACTGGCAGACGTGCAACAACTTTAACAATGAGGTAATGACAAAAAAACGGTTTCAATACGGAGCTCCTTTATGGGACTCAACACTTGTAAACAATCGCTCCATAGGGCTCACGCGGCTTTCGGTCCCGCTCACACTCTTCAGCCCTACCAAGCCGACCAATCACAGAGTTTGTGCTACACATCGTTGCGATGATTACAGTATGGTTAGGGTCTGTATGGGTCACCTTTATCAGGCTTGCGTTTCCACCACAAAGGGTACCTTTGTTCATGATTAAGGTTGTTAAACACTTTTGCTCCTGTGTTTTGCCGGGTTTCTCCTTTTTTCCCGCGCTTTACTCTCGCGCTTGTCCTTTTCTTTCTAATTGGATCAGATGATGGAGACACTTCAACAATCACGTACACGTTATTATCATCAGCTCAAGAAGTTCGTTATATCAAATATAGACGCCATCGCGCACTCCCGGAAGAAAACGAATACCGCTCGCACTTTTAGACGGGCTCGTAAAGCAACAACATTACACGGCAGATTTTGTTCTTCTATGCATTGTGTCTGTTCATCAAGACGACACAGTTTGTTTGAGCTCGGGTCATCCATGGCTCTTTATTTTATGCATATGGTATATCCATGTAATCTCTCAGCTGCGTATTAGAACATGGCGAATCCTTTGTTTACATTCTGTCTAGCTCCACGAGCTTGTGACGTATCTCTGTAACCAATCAGCGTTCGGCTGTGCGTGTAGCTCCACCTTTGGTCCCCTTTCTCGTTTTTGTTACCCTTTTGAAAGGGTGCCGAAAAAGTGGTTCGGTTTGGTTTGGTACGCTTATTGACAGTGTAAACGGCCATAAAAGCGTACCAAACCGTACCGTTCCACTCAGTGGAAACGAGCCATTACTCTATTGGAGATATCAGTGTCAGAATGATTAAAAAAAACACTAAAATATTTACAACAGTATATTTTCATGTGGCTGTCTGAAATCTAAAAGTAGATCTGGGAGCGGATATCGCAGTCTCTGTTATTTTTTTACCTTGCACTTTTTGGGAACATTTGGTATTCATTTGTTTTGGATATGCATTTTCACATTCTAATTCCAGTGCTTTATTATTAAATTAATAAAATGACTATTTAAATAAAATGTTCTTAAGAATAAAATATCATGTGTTCTTTAGAAGAGTACTTGCATTGTGAGGTTATTTTATTGTCATTCTGGGATAATATAATGAGTGGCATAAAATGGCCTTAAACTGACAATAATACCATTTATCGCAATTTTATTTTGGTGCAATAGATCGTACAACAAAAAAATAGATATCTTGACAGGCCTATTGTTGTGTGTATATTTTTGTTTCTAGACTTTATTTTTTCTTTTATACAGCAGTATTTAGCACTGGAGGCAGAGATGGAAACATAATGATTTGGGATACAAGATGCAGTAAAAAAGGTACTTTATTTTTGTAAAATTATAATCATGTCAATAATGACTGCTGAAGCTAACCACAATATTTTTACCCATCCCAGATGGTTTCTACAGGCAAGTAAAGCAGATCAGTGGTGCTCATATGAAACCTGAAAGATTCACTCCTCAAACAAAGAAGAGACGTGGTATGGCGCCCCCTGTGGTGAGTCAGTTGATACAATTTATTTGCAGCTGTTTTTTGAAAGGCACATACTAAAGGAAGTAACATTAATATACTTTTTTCTTTTTTGACATTTCAGGATTCCCAACAAGGTGTGACAGTGGTTTTGTTTTGCGATGAGACCAAACTCATCTCCTCAGGGGCAGTTGATGGGTGAGTACATCATGAATTATGCTATTTGAATAAAATGCAATTTCAACACAGAATATTAGGTCACTTGAAAATTTTCGATTTCTCAGCATGTACTATTTACATTTCTTTCTTTGAGTGACAAAATAATAATAATAAATGATTAACATTTACAGGGTTTTGTGCATGTAAATGAAGGTGCTATATTCGTATGTACTTTTATATGAAAGAATAGCATTATAAATAAGCAAAAAGTGATGTTTATATTCACTTTTCACCCAGAAAATGACAAATGTGCAGAATAATGGATGTTATTTGGATCTTATGAATAAATTGTTCATATGCAGAAGTAAAGTTAGTAGAATTCATGAAGTAATAACGAGGGAGTTCATAGCAGTTATCATTCCGGCTGTCTACATCCACCCTCAAGCCAGCACAGAGCAGGCGCTCAGAGAACTGTATGGGAGCATAAGCGAGCAGGAAACCGCACACCCAGAGGCAGCGTTTGTTGTTACAGGGGACTTTAACAATGCCAATCTCAGAAAAATCACTCCAAAATACTATGAACATATCACCACAAATACGCGTGTTGACTGGATTTTGGATGATTGCTATTCCCCGTTCCGGGAGGCACACAAATCCCTCCCTTGCCCACCGTTTGGCAAATCAGATCACTCTTCTGTTCTTGCCTGCTTACAGGCCGAAACTGAAACTGGAACCACCCACCCTCAGAACGTTTTAGAGCTGGACGGACCAATCGGATTCCATATTTCAAGACTGTTTGATTAGGGCTGCACCATTTGGGAAAAATATCACATTGAGATTATTAAGGTAAAAATTGCGATTTGCGATTACGATACGATAAACAAGTGGTATGACTCAACTTGCTTGTTATTAAGAACAATGCACACACAGATTACTAATAATGCTGAAATTTTTATTGTTCAACTGAAATACAGTATACAGTGCAATCTAGCAACAACTAGAAATTAACAATGTTTTCAAATTAAAACAAAGTTGTACAAAATTAAATAATATTAACATCTTTACATTACTGAAATAAATTACATTAAATACATTTTAAAATAAAATAAAAAAATCTAATGTACAGATAAATAAAACAAATACCCATTTTTAAAAATATTTTTACATTACTACTCTTGGCTTTTATCGCCATGCATTCAATCTCTGTGCTGCTTCAGGTGCTGATATAAATTTGTCGTGTTGCCACGTGATGTAGCAATTTTAGTTTGGCAAATATTGCACTTTACCTCTTTCTGCTCAGTGTCCGATATCCTGAAGCCAAAATATCACCAAATTACAGAGATAGCATTTTTTCTGGGCACAAGTTCAGTGTTGGTCTGTTCTGTATACATTTTCTTCATTCTCCACATTGCGTGTGGTCACGTGACCACAAGCACAGCGTGAAGCAGCGCAGGTTTTTTCGGCGTCCAAGTTAACAGAGCTTTCATACCGCACGCAACAGCAGCGCGTCATAAGTGAGGCGTGATTGTCACTGAAGCAGCAGTGGCGCGATAGATTTGGCGCTGAGTCTATTTTTTCCATGCTGCTCACGCTCAGTTAAAGTGACAGTGCATTGATAACGACCAAAACACATTGAATGACAGAAAAAAGTTGCAATTTTACCCAATAAATGCATTAATGAAATCAACTGACTTGTATATAGTCAATCAAATGAACTTAAATTATTAAAAACTGCAACAAACATTTAGGCCCGAACTACAAAACCAAATGTAAAAAAATGTAGTATCAGTTTTGCTTAAGTTGCATGCTATTGTTTCAGGAGAGAGGGAATAGAATATTTACGGGAGTTGTAGTCCATAGCGAAGTGTGTTGTGGGTAGTTTAGTTCGACACGCATGCTGGATGATGTAAGCTCGCTGTGTGGTGTGCAACTGAAGCAGAGGAAGAAAGTTTTATTCGGCTTTTTTTATCTTTACTCAAGTTAAAAAGTATATAAGTAAGAAATAAGTAAAATAATTGCATGCATTAATTACTTTTGTCCGTCTCATCCTTTGCACGAGCTGTTACTCTGCTGCTGGATGTTACTGAAGCGGAGAAAGTAACACTAGTTTGATCATACATAAATATCATTATAACTATTTTGTATAAATATTATTATAACTAGGCCTAAATCATCCTGACAATCAAAAACCAAATGACATGATATCACAGGCAGGCCTGGCCCTAACCAATTTGGCACCTTAGACAAGATTTCAGGTGGTGCCCCGTCACATCGCAGTAAATTCCACAGCTAGTGTATAGTCATAAGAAACTAAATCGCTTTTTGATCTATTACTACAAGCTGGAAAAACATCTGATAAATATGCCAATGCAATTAACTTTATTGCTGAATAGATTCAATATTTACACATTTGCTGGAGGAAGGAATGATGGGGGTAGTTACATTACTGTTGCTATTTTCCATAACGTCTATGCCCTTCCATAACATTAGCTGACATTAAAACTTACAGATAGCACTATAGCTATTTATTGGCTGGCAATCTGTCAACGTTGGGATGTAAAAAATATGGGACAACAAATTGCTTCAAATGATATACATAGCAAACATTAGAAAATATTGCCAATAAAATAAAGCTATAAAATCTTTGATTGTATTTGTATATTGATTAAAGTTACTACAGTTATTTAGTGAAGAGCAGCAAATGAATCTCTCATTATTTTGTTTCATAACAGAGGTGTTCATGTGAGAATGCACAGATCTATAATGAAGCATTCGACTACTTTAGTAACTGTTTGTGCTCATTTAAGAAAACATTAGTTGTGTTTAAAGTACCTATGCAGCGGGCCTTAGTGCAGATAATTTTTTTTAAAGGTGTATTTGTATATATAGAGAGATATATGTAACTACATAGAATAGACAGAGATGGATGGATCTCTGCAGCAGCTGCCGAAGAGCTGCGCACTGCAGACGCAGCTAGTGTGAAAGGCAAACGCCTGCGTGCTGCTTTTGCTCTACAAACGCGCTGCTCACGCACTGCTTTCGCTTTTGTTTGTTTAATATAATCACAAGATTTGCTGTAATGTAATCGCATAGGCTGACATTGCGATTGTGATATGATTAATCGTGCAGCACTAGTTTTGATCATGTGGACTGAGATATGTTCCGAGCAATATGCATCAACGACATTGAAGTGTACTCAGACACCGTCACATGCTTCATCAGGAAATGCATAGAAGACTTGGTCCCAACAAAAACTGTCCGTATCTACCCCAACCAAAAACCATGGATCAGTGGCTAAGTTCAAACAGCCCTATTAGTGGGAACATCCGCCTATAAATTCAGAAATGCTGAGGAACAAAAACAAGCAAATTACAACCTCAGGAAAAACATCGAAGCAGCAAAACGTCAATACACAGACAAGGTAGAGTGTCAATTTAACACCAATAATGCAATGAGCATGTGGCAGGGACTTAATTGCATCACGTACTTTAAAAGTAACAATCCCGCCACTGTAAACATTGCTGCGTCTTTCCCTGACGAGCTCAACTCGTTCTACACCAACTTTGAAGCCCAGGTCAGCGCGCGCTCCTGCGACCAAAATCGCCAGCACACTCTCTGTTTCTGTAGCGGACATAAGGAGATCTTTCAGTCGCGTGAACATCCGGAAGCTCTTGGCCCAGATGGCATCCCTGGACGTGTACTTAAAGCATGCACACACCAGCTAGCGGGGGTTTTCACGGATATCTTAAATCTCTCGCTCTCTCGGTCTTTGGTTCCCCCATGCTTTAAGACAGCTACTGTTGTGCCCATACCGAAATCAGCTAAAAACAACAAGCTTGAATGACTGGCGTCCAGTTGCTTTGACACCCATCTTCAGCAAGTGCTTTGAGAAGCTGATTAAAAAGCACATCTGCTCTGTACTGCCTGCTCACTCTGACCCTCTGCAATTTGCATACAGGTATAATCTCTCAACTGATGATGCAATTGCTTTCACTTTGCACACTGCTCTTTCTTACCTGGAAAACAAAAACACATATGTGGAATGCTGTTTGTGGACTACAGCTCAGCATTCAACACCATTCAACACCTGCCAATCTGGTGGTGAAGGTCCAGGATCTAGGTCTACACAGCTGTCTTTGCAATTGGATCCTGGACTTCCTGTCAAGCAGACGCTAGAATGAACAACATTACATCATCCACCTTAATCTTCAACACTGGTGCTCCACAAGGCTGTGTTCTCAGCCCACTCCTATACTCCCTTTACACACATGACTGTACAGCCAAACACAGCTCCAACGTCATCGTTAAATGTGCTAATGACACAACGGTGGTCCTAATCACCGATAATGTGACAAACTACAGAGAGGAGGTGCACACTCTGACACAGTGGTGTTAGGAAAACTCACTCAACATCAGCAAAACCTAGAAGCTGGTGGTGGATTTCAGGAGAGAGAAGAGAGAACACCCCCCCCATCACCATCAACGGGAAACCAGTGGAGATAGTCAGCCCTTTCAAGTTTCTCGGAGTACACATCGCTGAGGATTTGACATGGACTGCTCAAACAGACGCTATTCTGAGGAAGGCACAACAACGCCTCTTCTTCCTCAGGTGGTTCAGGAGGTTTGGAATGAGCCCCCACATCCTCCGCTCGTTCTACACCTGCACGGGGAGAGCATCCTGTCTGGCTGTATCACCACCTGGTATGGAAATAGCACCAGCAGCAATCGCAAAGCCCTACATAGGATTGTGCGAACTGCTGGACGCGTAGTAGGAGGCGAGCTTCCCTCCTCCAGGACATCTTCACCAGGTGTTGCATGAGGAAAGCCAAGAGAATTATCAGCGACTCCAGCCACCTAAGCCATACACTTTTTTTCTCTGCTACCCTCAAGCAGACGGTTCCGCAGCATCCGGTCACGCACTAGCCGGCTGAAGGAAAGTTTCTTCTTTCAGGCTGATGAACACTTAAGACAGCCCACACAGACTTTTCCATACCCCTTACTGCACACCATCAATATGTAGTTTGCACTGCACTTTAACTAATCCATACTTGAAACAATACTGAATACAACTATGTGAACACCTATTCATTGTACATATCGGTATAACAAATTAATTTATTAATTTTTTTTTTTTTTTTTGAGGAGCATGCTGTTGAATTTAGCACTTTTGTGTATTTGCACTGTCTGTCTTTTGCACTGTAATTTTTTTTTGCACTGTCTGTTAATTGCACTATCGTTGAATTTGCACTGTATTGTGTACTGTCTGGGGCCAGCACCTTTTCACTCATCATAGCACACGTGCTGCTGATGATGTGACAATAAAAGTGATTTGATTTAATGCAAAACCTTGCATAACAAATCTGGTAGTTTCACATAAACTGAGTATTTCCAGGTGGTCTCTTATTTCTTACCATAGCTGTATATAAATCACAATCTAATTGCTTGTCTTATAAATTATTGGCATGTGACTACTTTTTTTTATAAAAATGGCACAAGCTATGTTTGAGTTGGCCATAGTTCATTGTTTCACTCTGTCATTATATTAAAGTCATCATGATACAGAAGTTAAGATGGTCCTTTTTTTCCCTTTTTACGAAAGGGTACCAAAAGGTGTTATGATCTGTGTGTTAGTCTAGCTGTAGAAATGCATCCTGTATTGTGCTAAACTGTACCGCTCTTGAAAATGGGTAATAACATTCTGACCTTGTCTTAGGATCATTAAAATGTGGGATTTGCGGAGGAACTATACTGCATACCACCAGAACCCCCTGCCTCTACAGGCCTATCCTTACCCAGGGTCCTGCACGCGCAAACTAGGTACACATCTCATAGCCCACTGTTACTAATGAGAATTCATATTATCAAATAAAAATCTTATATTGTTTTATTTATTTAATTAATATTTTTTTTTATTTATTGGAACTCTTATCTTTTTATTGTTTTTTTATTATAGAAAAGTGATTTCTATAAAATGTCATAAATTGTATCTATTTTTTGCTATGACATAGCCAGAGAAGCTGAGATGGCAATAATCTCTCTCTGTAGTATTATTGCTAATTTTCCTTTTCATGATCCTGTTTTTCTTCTGCAGGTTATTCTGGTCTTTCACTGGACTACACTGGATCTAGACTCTTCTCTAACTGCACAGATGACAATATCTACATGTTTAATATCAGTGGGCTGAAAACCACTCCAGGTACATATGAATTGTAATAAGTGTTCAGTTTGTTTGTTTTTAAGTGTAAATTGTTATTTTTTATTTTTTTAACTAATCAGTTTTTATCTGGAGTGTGGGATAGTGTTATGATGATATCATAGTTGTTTTAATGATGTGTGAGCAAACATAGAATTTCTCAAAGTCTAAAGAGTACAATATAAAAGCACTAATTTCAGCAGGTCGGAATTGATTTCTTTTTTCAAAATATGATAACTTTAATTTATTATGCACTTAAGACTGTTTTTTTTTTTTTTTTTTTTACTTCTATTGTTTCGTTGGTATAAAAAATCCCCAAAATAATTGAATTATGTAGGTGAAGCATGTTTCTGAACTAATTCTCTTTTTCACAGTCGCTGTGTTCAGTGGTCACAGTAACTCCTCATTTTACGTGAAGTCCACTGTGAGTCCAGATGACCAGTTCCTGGCTAGTGGATCCAGTGATCATAACGTTTACATATGGAAGGTCAGGAGTTCTCCATGCACTCACCCGCAAAATTCCCTCATTCTCAAATATATTTCTCAAAAATATATATATACATTTTCAAGAAGAGCTATTCAAATGATTCATTTGATTTTGTTACAAAGTAAGCTCCCCATCCCTCCAGTAACATACAGCCCCAGATCTAGATGTAAAAGTAGAAGATCAGAAGTTATGTAGCAACGGTGACACATGATTTTGTTTACTTTTGATCCAGATTTCAGATCCAAAACAAGCTCCCATGATGCTTCAGGGCCACAGCCAAGAGGTCACATCCGTGGCCTGGTGTCCTACCGATTTCACCAAGGCTAGTATCTGTAATTGCGGCAAACAAATAAATACTGGTTAAGAATTGTGCACAGCCTCTAAAGGCTTATATTAGTTTAAAACTCATAACTCTTCCTGCAGATTGCATCCTGCTCTGATGATAACACTGTTAGGATCTGGCGTCTTAACCGCAAACCAGAAGGAGAAAACTCAACAATCCAAGATGGAAACCTTGTAGGCTGGACGATTCGTAAAGTCCAGTCACCAAACAGAACACCTGGTAGAGTTCTCTTCTCTTTAAAATCTGGTTTAGTGTTTTTGTATTTTAAAGATCACATTCCTGTGTGCTGAATGTTCAGCTTCACTGCCGTAGTTTTTAGTGTCACACAATCCTTTAGCAATCATGCTTATATGTCAACTTGCTGCTTTAGTCGTTATTGCTAATGATTTACTATTGATGTTAATATTAATTTGCTGCTTGTTTGTGCTGCTTGTTTGTGAAAGGGATCTGGATTCTTTGAACAAATTTTAAAAAGGCATTTGTTTGAAATAGAGAGCTTTTATAAAATTATAAATGTATTTTGCACCAATCATCATTTTATTGGGATAGTATTAATTTCATATTTTTATTACAAAAATGTTACTATTTAATATATTTATTGACGGCAAAAAATTAAATAGTAAAAACTGATCCTAATATGAATCATTCAATGCAAATACAGTATAAATATGATTTAATTGTTTATTTAATTTGCTAAAAACATTGTTTTTCTACAGAGGTATGTATAGAGATTATTTAATTTCTATAGATCTCTACAGAGATAGTCTTCCTCAATTTAAATGAAAATTAAATACATTTCCTACAAATACAGTTGGTGAGAGTTATAGTTTTAATATATATATATATATATATATATATATATAGATATATATATAGATATATAGATACTTTTAATTGATTCACAAAAGTAATTGCTTAAACTCTGAAGTTAAAAAATAGGTAGTGCTGGACGATTTGGCCTAAATTCAAATTATCGATTAATTAGACTTTATAATTTAATTATGGTTAATGAATGACAATTTTATTCATTTTATTTTTTAGGCCACATAGTTCACTGAAAAGTAAACCTGGGCTTTAATTTTCTTTTTATTTTTTTTATTTTTTTTTTTTGATTAATTTGAATTTACGTTTTGACGACGATTTAATTTTATATTAAATTGAAAAATCGAATTATTTTAATATTTTTTGTTTTTTTTTGTTTTTTTATATAAAAATATTTGATACATCATAATGGCACCAATGCGCTTTGGTTCACTTTCTGTATGAAGCAGGTCGCACACCAGAAGCGCCGCGCAGCGCCATGGATTTTAGAATTCTAAACATAAGTTTCTATAAACAAACCGGCGCCGCCCAGCCACGATTCAGGACGCAGTTCATATTTTAGCCGTGCCACAGATCGCCATCTGATTAGTTTCATGTTAAGTATCATGCAAATGTGCGCGTCTTGTGTGTGATACTTTAAACTGTCATGTGCGCGCCGTGTCGCGTCGCTTCTGGTGTGCAACCTGCTTGACTGTCTGTCTGTCTGAATTTCACTCATGGTAGTGATGGACTGGACAGCCTAATTCAACCTAAAGCATGAAGTTGTGGGCAAGCATCGCAGAGTTAGTGCAAATACAACGAATACAAGCATTTAAGTGTCTTCAGTTGTGTATTTTTCTTTTATTAATACCTTTGCATGAAACATGCTCTGGTCCACTCTCTCACGCTTCTCCAGCACTTCCTGAAGAGGGGATTTACATTCAGACTAGTGCAACAAGTGTAATCCTACATGACATCACGCTTTACTTAGTCACGTCTGTGTGGATTGCTAAGACATTCCCTCATCAAGTCGTTAAACTCAATCTCCCAACATGTATGAAGGATGTAAAAACCAGCTATGTAAAAAACTGTGCCGATCTTAGTTCAAACCGCGCTGATCTTAGTTTGGTTTGAACACGAGCAGAGGTGAGCAGCCGTAGCAGTAAAAGTGAAAGTACCCGCCCTCATGACGCCATTTAGTGGACCTAGTTGAAAACCAGACAGATCAGGCAGCATAATACAGAGAGTGGTACAAAGCGCATCAAATGATCGATATTTAAAAGGGGGGAAAAAATAGATTAAATATATTATTTTATATTAGACACACATCTGGTGCTTTTTATTTGCTCCTGCTATACGTTCACAACTTCACACATTGGGTTAAATTAGGCTTTACAGTTCAGTCCTTTACTTCCACTGTATCTTTTTAAGAAAAAGGCAGCAGCATTACAACCTGTCATTCAATCAGAAGCAAAAAGTCAAAGTCGAGCTGACAGCCAATCTTTCCTAGGCTCAACAAAACTTGCAAATAATACCTTTGTATTCCTGCAACTGCAATATTTACACATTTTTTATTTAAATCTTCTGCAACAATATTTAACTCGTGAATTTGTTTTACATTTATTTACACCTTGTTGACCAATTTATGTATGGCATGGCCATTAAAAATACAATGTTCTTTAATGGGATGGATTTTCAAGTTACTTATAAAGACAATGTTTCTTCAGTCATGTTGTTATAATGTTTTAAGTTGACTAGTTACACAATAAAAAAAAAATTGAAATCGTGAATCGGTCAAACTTTATTAAAAAAATTAAGATTTTTTGTTTTTTTTTGTTTTTGCCATATCGCTCAGCCCTACTGACAAGTTTTGTTCAGTAATTATGCTTGCATATTACCAGTGAAAGATTTTTGAGTAAAGGTTGCATTATTGATTTTAAAATAATAGAAGGCAATCTTCTTGCTGTAAGGCGACAGTGCTAATCACTGAGCCACCACACCGTCTCTGTATAATTATTTATTGAACATCAATGCTAAACGACTGAAATTAGAACACACATTGCCTAAAACCAACAGTTACTTTTTTCTTATAAAAAAGTGAAAATAACTAACTTTTAATATAGATTTTATTTTCAGTGTTTTTTCATACTAAAAGTAGAAAATTAGCAGTATCTCTTTTAAAAAAAAATAAATATTGTATATCCTGTAAATAATATTTTATGCAGTGCATTTCTTGCAACTTCTATAAACAATTTTAATATAAATTATAATTTAAATGTAATGGAAAATATGCCATTTCAAAGCATCTCTGGCGCAGCTTACAATCATAATTAATGTAGTGAAAAGTAAGACTAAAGAATAGGTCCATCGTCCTACTTAATCAGAGATTAAATGTGGTTAAAAAGTGGCCACAAAAGTATAAATAAAGGCTTAACATAGGAGGTTCACGTGACTCCACATGCGGAAGGGAAAGTAATTGAAAAAGATTGAAAAGCCTATAGATTGAAAACAGGTTCTGAATGTTGATTATTTCGATGAGTTTTTGTTTAATTGCCCAGCTCTAAACAGGTATTATGAATATATGTTTGAAAGTCACACTTAATTTTAAATTAAACAAATATAAACAGTACTTTACTATGTATGACATTATTTCTCCTTAAATTAAGGACTATAATTTGTTTTTTACGAGGCCTCTAATCCTTCTAGCTTTATATCATTGATAAAGAAAATAGAAAAAAGACATTAAGCATTTTAGCACTCCTTTTGAACAAGTAAAAGTTGCATTAGTAAACAAAAAAATCTTTCTACAAAAAAACTGAGCCTAACACAGGTGAGTGGGCTTGACAAACCACCTGTAGAGAACACTTTCATCTCTGACACCTGCACCAGTTTTGCACAAGACTCTTTCAATCTCTTAATAATAAAATAAAAACAGTGTGCAGAAACGCTTATAAAAAAACTCTCCCTTACTTACTCAAGCACTTAATCTCTGAGTGCTAATCATTCCTTTGTATAATTAGCACTTGTGTGTATTTTCTCTTGTTATATCGCAGGATGTTTCTTCAATTGTAAGCTAAATGTAAAATCTTAATCACCAACTTGACTGAATCCTAAAACAATTTATAAACACACAATCACCAATATTCTCTTATTTCTTGTTAAATTGGTGTTAATGAGTCCTTTGTTTCCCCAGGCCATCACAGCCCAGTTGAGCTCACTCCATCCAAAAATCCTGGATCGGTGAGGTCTGTTTCGCTGGCTTCACCCCAGCCTGCCACCTGTGCCCCTACAGGTGCCGCTTTACCCCTCCCATCAAACACCTCTTCTGCACCTCCAGCCAAGCTCACCAGCCCCAAAATGCCATCATCCCTTCAACAATGGATCAGCCGCAGCAGCAAATCTCCTGTTCGAAAAGCCCTCACACCTGTTCTCCAGGGTCTGTCCTTCGAACACCGTGTCAAACGCCGACTGGAGACGGGCGATTCTGCCAGCTCTGGTTTGGGAGAGGAGATCGACGGTGTGTCTGAACTTTATCCCAATGTCAAGAGGAGTAGGAGTTCAGTAAGCACACTCAAGAAAGAGGACTCGTTTGGTTTGGAAAGTGAGAAGAGGCTAGGCTCGGATGGTGCAGAGGCCTCTGGGAAGGAGAACAGCTCTCCCAGGAGGACTGATTGGCTTTCTGTGATCAGCCAGAAGTTTAAAGGGTCGGCTCAGCCTAAGAGCCCCAGCAGTGGCAGCAGTCAGCAGGATACAAGAACACTAGAATCTCCAGTGAGTACATATAAATACTTTCATTTTATGCTTTATACTACTGCTTATTAATAAATTGCATACGATTGTTGTGCACATTTGTCAGTAAAGCTGGCTCTATTATCAGCTGTGAATCTCCAGCACCTGTGTTCAGCTAGAGCAGCGTTTACTAGTGCGAAAATATTGCATGCAAAAGTCAAATCGCAAATAGTCATGCTACGATATTGACCTCCATTTGTGTAGCTTCTCTGTGAACTACAACACTTTGTAGTTAATATTGCCATTTATAAAACTTAAATTCCATACCGCATGCAAATGCAAATACCGCATACAATGATGTTTCTTTACTCCACTCACTTCATAGCTTCTGTATAATAGCATTTAAATTGAGTCCTTCTGTGAAATTGTCTTCTTTCACAGAATAAAGTTCGCACGTTATTTGATAGAGTGTGCGCAACGCGTCTGAAAGGTGCATTATGAGTCCTGCAAATGAATAGAGAAACTCTGAACTTCTGGGAGACTGGGGATGTCTGAATATCACAATAACAAATTTAGTGAGACGTGATCCAGCCGTACATCCTTGATAAATTGTACGACGTGCACTGCTCTGGAGCTCAGAGGAGCGCATGACTGTGTGTGTGTGTGTGTGTGTGTGTGTGTGTGTGTGTGTGTGTGTGTGTGTGTGTGTGTGTGTGTGTGTGTGTGTGTGTGTGTGTGTGTGTGTGTGTGTGTGTGTGTGTGTGTGTGTGTGTGTGTGTGTGTGTGTGTGTGTGTGTGTGTGTGTGTGTGTGTGTGTGTGTGTGTGTCTGTCTGTCTGTCTGTCTGTCTGTCTGTCTGTCTGTCTGTCTGTCTGTCTGTCTGTCTGTCTGTCTGTCTGTGTGTCTGTCTGTCTGTCTGTCTGTCTGTCTGTCTGTCTGTCTGTCTGTCTGTCTGTCTGTCTGTCTGTCTGTCTGTGGTCACGTGATGTGCGTTTTCAGCTGATGGAGGGCTGTTCAGAAATGCTAGGTAAAACACGGTGTGGATGTGGATTATTTTTGTTCTAAAATGCCATTTTAACAATATTAGTGTAAACGGGGCCTAAGTGTGTATTTTTACCGAGCGGGTTTGCGGCAGGGGCGAGGCGGAGGATCGGCGATGCCAGCTCAGCATTGTGTCGTCTATTAGCCATCAGCGATGGATAATAACATCATCTATCGGCCCAACCCTACTACCTACATACATACCTACCTCTGGTGTTCTGGAGGAAATGTACTGTTGATCACATTACTGTACTTTTCTCATATGATGTGCAAGAAAGTTACAACTTACAAATATGCTAATTTGATTTATTTGTTGATTCGTTGTTAAGCCCTACTTTACAGTAATCATTTTGTTAACAAAACTAAAGGCTTTTGCATACCAGGATGATTTTTTAATGGTGCTATTTCCCATCAAAGTCATATCACCCTACAGCCCAAGACTGGTTACTCACTAAAGCAAAGCAGGACTAAGCCTTGTCAGTATCTGGATGGGAAACCACAGAGGAAAATTAGGTAGCTGTCTAAAGTGGTGTTATTGAAACCAGAAAGGGGCCCCCCAAATCCCTCCTCGCTCTTCAGAGATGTACCGCTGGATCGCATCTCACTATAGTTGTTTACACCTCTTTCCTGACTTTGAAAATATAATTGGCTGAATTGTATAAAAACCTGAATTAAAAATTATGCGTTTAGCGTAGAATCAAGATTGTGATCTTTTTTTGATTAATTGGCAGCTCTATATTGAATGATGCATCAAAGAGGCTTGATTGCAAATCACTGCCACCTTACAGATGAAAATCCAATGTATAGCATGATAAATATTCCAGAACAGTTAGCTGACTCGATCTCAAATTGGGTCAGATGTAGTGATGAGCGGCAGCCACTGCAAACTGCTGATGCTTAAAGTCATATTGTGTGAAATAGATATAACCTAACTGAAAACTAAGCCCTCTTTAGTATCTAATGATATCCATGTCATCCTGTCTTGAGCCATGGGCACAGTAGATTTTGAGCATGCAAAATAGTTGTTTGGTGCTGCGAAAAAAGGCGGTATAAAACTAGATGATGCGACCTCACTAAAAAGTATTTATTGTTCCATATTTTACATTTCTGTACAGAGAGGTCATGTCTTGAACTTCTGTTGGTCTCTCGCATTTACAGGCCAGAGTTCACCAAAATTGAACTTTGGAATGCAGTAACTTGCGAAACTACTAACAGGACAAACTTGCGTTTCCTGCCTAGCACATTTTCGTACCTATGAATTAAAATTCTATGGGGCAAAAATGTAGCGTGACCACAGCATTAGTGTCAGGAAAAAGCTTGTCAACTAACAATGTTTCCCCTTATTTTTATTAACAGTTATAACAACAATGATTTGATGTTTTTTAATATAATCAATTGTCCGCTTTTTCAGTGGCCTCAAATATGTTTGTTTTTTGCCTAATAAAGAGGACAAAGTTTGAAGATTTAGACCTATTAAACGTTGCAAATAAAAAAGTGTTTATTAATATATCAAGTTTTGTTTCTGCATCAACTAAAACTGCAGACTAAAAGATCAATCATGGAATTTAAAAAATAATAATGATTTGTTTAAATTAAGAAAAATTAGGCCAATAAAACAAATCTAACTGTGCTTTCAACACTTTGGACTGCACTCTGGTTTATTTGGCGTCAAAGTACAGTGCGTTTAGCTAGTGTGAATGTGTCTTCTGAACTCGGGTGTGCACCCACAAATCGTACCCGAGTCTGAGGTGGTCTTAAGTATGGTTTGTGCAAACTCTCGTACCGTTTACTGATATGACTGCAATAGAACCAAATAGCGGCAGTGAACCGTCAACTGTACAACATACTATTGTTTTCATTGCGTTTATTCGTGTGTTTGTATGTTGCCTACCTTGGTGACAAGCGGGACTGAGTCAGTGCAAACAGTGATAATGTCTGCTTTTCTCCACCAAAACTTCTTGTGATGTTCTGAATGTTTTAATTTTTTTATTATTTTTTTTCAGGCTGATATTTGCAAGTGGCTGTGTGTTTTAGTTTTGGTAAAAAAAAAAAAAAAAAGTCAAATTATATGGATATGCAGTTTTGGAAACTAAACTCTTCAGTACGTTTTTCATTCAAATACCATAACACCTCACAGTTAAGAATAGAGTTTTTAAATTTATATTTCAAAAGATTTTTTTTTTTTTTTTTTTTTTTTTACTTGATCATTAAAGACTCTTTAAATTCTAGTATTAGAGTTTCCACAATGTAAACACAATATTAACACTAAGAAATCTGTCTTCATCATTAAATCATGTTTTAAAAATTTCGGAAATATAATGTGTTGCAAAACACTAAAGTAATTGCTGCTGATAAATCAGCTTTTGCGTTTTAGGAATAAAAAAAATTTTAAGTTTTCTTTTTGTGTTCATTTTTCACAATGGAAGGGTTAAGGGAAATGCCTTGGTATGCATCTTTTAAAAAATGCATATTATATAAAAAAGCTTCTGATTCTTGAAATACATTTTCAGTATTAATTTGTTTATATTCTTCTCTCTAGGCAGCAGTCTCACCTCGTCCCATGAAAGTTTTCTCTCCACCAACAAACAAGAAAGCATCACCTTCCAAACCTATGAAAAAAATCTCAAGCTACTTTATGAAAAGAACCCAAGACTGACGTGCATGGGTGCATGCCTGCATGCCTGTGTGCGTGCATGTTTAAAGAGATTACAAGTGTCTTTCATTCTACACATTTATGGTTTAAATTCAGTTTCAGCTTTTCTTGTAACTGAGCTTCAAACCAAACCTAGAAAAGATTTGCAGATTCTGCCTGTATTTATGTATGTAATGTGTATTTTTTTATCTAGTTGTGCATTTATTTTTAAATGTGTAAAAATATTTTTCTAGAAAAGGGTCAAATGTATGATCATTTACAGTCATTTGACACCACAGTTGAATTCTAAAGTTTCTCTGATACCTTCATGTCTGTCAGACAGTTTGAAACACTTTGCTCCATTTAACATGCTTTTTAAACTATATTAAATTATATTTGGGTGTTATAATCAGTGTTATATCATACTTTATTTTTTATTCCAATTCTAATACTTATTTCCAAATGTGTAATGCCCTTTATTTGAGATTGTCCTTAAACGTGGGTCACATTTTCAGTTCTCTATTGATTGTAAAGCAGCACTTTACATAACTAATCCATTTCCAATTAGCCCACTGCTTTTTACGTATTGAATCTCTATAATGCAGTAGGGTTTTTTTTTTTTTTTGTAATGATTTAAATACCTTTTACATTATAGCACAGCCTTTTTTTCTTTTTGTAAGTTTGTGTGAATAGCTAGAATGTCACTTAACTAGAAAGATCTGCCTCAAAGTTTTCATCCTGCTTGTTATTTTGTTTTATTTTCACTATATCTTCAGCATGGTGGGTCAGATATGCTTTTTGCATACAGAAACTTAATTTTAGCTATAGAAATATGCCTTGTTCACCTAGACATGGCCTAGCAAACAATTTTAGATGTCTGTTAGGTATCAAAACGTTGAAGGATTGGCTAAAACAAGCCTAAACTTGGGCTGTCATTGAAAATCTAATAGATTAATCTAATATAATAGCCCAAAACTATAGTCGTCAAATAGACAGATTAGACTATGTGTGTATTAATTTCTGTTTATGTAATAACTAGTCTAGTTTTGGCATATTCTTAGACATCCATTAGATTTTCACTGACAGCCCAAATGTAGCCTTGTTTCAGCTAAGACCACTGTCTAGACGTATATTAGACATTTTTTATAAACAAAAAAGGAAGTTGTTTTAAACATTTTCTGTAAAAATGTGATCGTTTAAATTATTCTCATAAAAAAGTTACATTTATTTGCGTTCTAACTACGAATATTGATTATGCGTTTGTTTTATTTCTCAATTTGAGGATTGTCCCTTTCTCCTTTGACAAGGCTCCAAGTTCAACTAACTCTCACAGTGTTTCTCTTTAAAATGTTTAATTGTGGACGTTGTTTTTCCTGTATGTTTGTTTTATTTTATAATTTTATTTATTTATTTTATTATTTTTTTTTTTTTGAGTGGTTGAACGTTTGTTGAAGTTTTGTTGCATGTTTTCATGCGAGTTCAAGGATACAGTATCTTTTTATTTGTGTGTTTCCCTAAATACCATTAAAACAAGAATCTGATTGGTCAGTGGGCGGAGCTTGGTGTTTGTGCTGGCGCTCGTTGGACGAACATGCTGTCACTCAAACGCGCCACGGGGTTTTATTTTTAGACTCCATTGAGGCGCAACAGCAGCTGAATGAAGTTCAGCGGGTCTGAGGAATTTTACCCTCGGCGGATTCGCATTAAACTCTTTTCCTCATATGGAGTGTCTCCTTGGATAAACGCGACTGCATTTTTGTACTCGACATTGTTATATGGTTTTGTAAACATTTAAGCATGATAAAAGCACGTCAGTAACTAACGTCTACGTTTATACGTCATCTTAGGGTACCTGTGGATCATCATGCAGCCTCCGCGAGTGGGCTGACAGTGTCACATTAGATGGGGTCTCGTGAGTTTAATGCATAGCACAGTCAATGGGATGTCTGCACTCAAGTCTAGAGAACATTTAGGGCACACTCGTTCACTGTAGGCGCAGCTTTTTTTTTTTTTTTTTTTTTTTTTTGCTAGATCTGCTCTGGAAATGTCGGCGATTTCTGCGTCGGAGAAAGTGGACGGGTTCACGCGGAAGTCTGTGAGGAAGGCGCAAAGGCAGAGGGTATGCCAGGGCTCGTCTCAATTTGCGGTCAACAGCAGCAGGCCTGCGGCTCCAGAGATCTCGGCGCTCCCGCAGCTCAAAGGTAAGAGGATAAAGCTCTGCAAATATACACTCGCGGGCTGCGTCTTAAACACTGGGCAGCTGTCTAAAATATAAAGGAGCTCCTATAAAGGAAGTTCCCTTCATAAAAATGTGCTGTCGTTTATAGGAAGCACTAGTGTTTTTGAACCACACTATAGTAAAGTTTATTCGGGATGTTTACTGCAGGTATATATTATAGTGTTTATCTATAGCAAACTGATATACTAATAAATAATGTGGTATACTGGTGTATTGTAGTATGATATAATGTTACTATATTTGTAGAAGGTTTGTACAGTAACAATTTGTTTGTTAATGTTACTGTATTGCTGTTTCAATAGAAACTTTAGAATTACCACAACACAGTAATTCAAGTACAACTATACTATATAAAAGCCACCATATTTTCCAGAAATTACTTTAGTTAGTTTTTTTTTTTATGTTGAAAGTAATCAATCTTGGCATTACAGGTAGCTTGAGTTACATAATCAAGTAACCAAGGTTTGCGTTACTTATTACCAAAATAAGCAACGGTGAACTAAAATATGACTTTTTTTTTTCCTTCAATTTTATACGGTTCCTTTTACATCATTGATGTTGTAATGCAATTAAAATATAATCTGTTAAAAAGACTTAAGCGTTCATTTAGTTATCTAAATGAACTTAGTTCATATTTCAAAGACAAAAAAAAAAATAATTTGATGCAGTGCTTTTTCTATATTCTTAGACCTGCTTTATAGCGTATAGCATTTAGGCAGTGAAGATCCTTGATTTTTAAAGAAAACAGTTCTTATAAATGCACAGATTTTGTATCTGTTCACCGGAAGCACTTGACCCTGGTTACTGCAAAATTAAAAGGCCATCCGAATACTTCTGCAAATATATCCTATTTGAAAAAAAAAAAAATGGTGAGCAAGTGTAGAATACAAATGTATGCATTGAGCACAAATATATTCATACTGTAATTATACCTTAATTGGGTTGGTACACCCCCCTCCCCCAAAAAGTCTGTTATTACCCCTACTTCGTTCCAATCTCGTAAAGGGGTGTTCCACTATGATATAGTGATTGGAATTTCAGATCATTTTATTGACTCGGATCTTTGAGTCTCGTTCGTCGAGATGAACAAAACTTTTATCGAGTCATTTCGTTTATTTGGTTCAATTTTCCAAAAGAATTGCTTCCAAACACATCTACAACTAGCCCAAAAGGTTGATTACACAACAAATAAGTCATAAATAGAATACTATAAGAAGGAGAAAATAATAATTCAATGTTTACACGCTCTTTTGTCTATGAAGGTATTGTGGTCTCTTTGCTTAGCTCACCTCTTCATGCCTTCAAATGTCAGTGGTTCGTTCACGTTACACTGACAGTCACATATAATCTTAATTAAAGTACACAATCTGAGCCAATAGGAGCCATGATAATTAGTTCACCTTTTCGAGTCTTCGAGTCTTTCATTCATCATGTGACAGAATGACTCAAACCCAAGAACTTGATAGGTGACCGGATCAATTATTTTTCCGGCTCTAAACGCATATGATTGGCCTGTGAGGAAAGAATGACTCAAACCCGAAAGAGGACTCGATAGATGAATGGATCTATTCTTTTACCGACTCTAAACGCATATGATTGGCCTGTGGGGAACGGATGACTCAAACCCGATAGACGACTTGAGAGATGAACGGATCAATTCTTTTTCTGTCTCTAAACGCATATGATTGGCTTCTCCCTTTCCGCGATGAACGACTCAAAAGATACCACCTGCACAAATGTATGCACGCGCGAATGAATAAATCACTCCCTGAGAGGGCTTGTAGTTCAGAAGTCATATTAAAGATTCGTTCAAAATGAACGAATTGTTCAAGAACGACCCATCACTACTATGATATCATATTTTAAACACTTAAAGGGTGACGAAACACCAAAACACATTTTTTAAAATGTTGACACTTGACAGTCGTATATGTGTCCCACACTGCTAAAAACACTATTAGGACACATATATCTCACTAAAAAGTAAAAATTAGTTGTTTTTGCGTTATTTTGAGCAAATTCGTACTTCCGGTTTAAAACTAATTTTTGAAGCTGCATCACGGCCATGAGATCTTAGCGTGTATTCCAGCTTGCAGACGGGACGTCTGTACCTCAGCGTCCCGTATTATGTTTCTGAGTGTGTTGCATTCATTCATGAGTAAGGCTTGGTTCAAACCAATCAGAGCGCTCATTATGTATGTTGCTGCATGCAACTTCATTAATATGCATGCTAGCTTTTTTAGACTGTACCTGAAACAGTGTTCAGACGGCAGAGAGACAACACACGTTGTGTTGCCAAACGTTGTGGGAAAAGAATAAGAACTGTTTGGAGATACGGGTCGCCAGTGTTGCTTTCATCATGTGAAGGTTTTATTTCATTTTCTCTTCATGAGAGCGCTGCTTAACCCACGTGAGAGGAAAAAAAATTTCTCACATCAATAGTGAGATCCGGATTTGATGCTCCAGTATGTGCTGATTGCCCTGTCTACAGATTCTGTAAGTTTGTGCAATCAGTGCCCTTTCTTTCTTCATTCAGATGGCAAAGTTATAGTTCGTATGGTCGGCAGTACTCTTTCAGTGTATAAAGACAGACCTTAGTCAAAATGATTTCTAAGTTACTTAGTTTACAGTACGTTAATATCACTACAATATTGAAAGATCCGCTGTAAATGCTGCTCTCTGAGTGTAAACACGTGAACACTGTAAGCAAACTTTTGCCGACCGTCGTGTTAAATTTTTGCTGCATTTTGTGACAGGATAGTCTACACACACACAGCTTTCTGACCTACTGAGTGCATATGAGTTACAGAGAAATGCAGAGGCTTTTTTCTCTTATACGACGTGTGGTATCAAACATTTCACTGTCATTAAACACACTGTCTTTCTTCCCTGCGTGTGTGTTTGTTTTTTCTCGGTTCTCAGCGCGTGCCCAAATGGCAACTCCCATTTTTATTCAAACCCTGCCCATTTTCCCTCCCCCCGACACTCCCACCCAAACAGAGCTAGACACACCCACTTTCCTGACTTTTTCCAAACTAGAGGTGTGAAAACAAGGCCCGCCCTCAAGTGACTGATTGGTCATCTATCATAGAATGCTGTGATTTGCAGATTGGCTCCAACAGTCAGTCAACCTCATGCCTGCCTTCTAAAATAAAATCTGACAAGTGTCTGCGTGTGTGCGTGTGTGTGCGTGTGTGTGTGTGCGTGTGTGTGTGTGTGTGTGTATGTGTGTGTGTGTGTGTGTGTGTGTGTGTGTGTGCGCGTGTGCGCGTGCGCGCGTGCGTGCGTGCGTGCGAGCGAGAGAGAGAGAATTGCCTGTAGACGCGTGTAACACGAGAAGTGCATGTCGGGACCAATGTCTCTTTTTCTCTGATGCTCGGATTAAGTTATTTTCTGTAATATACAGTATCACTGTTGACTGAAGAATAAAGCACAAGATGTGGGATGCAACCTGTGTGAGCCTTGATTGATTTTTCTGCTGCAACACGAGTAAGGCGAGTTCCCCTGTATTTTTTTCTACTCAATGCATTACACAACATTTTTACATATATTCGGAATATGCATGTGTAAGTAATATGAATCATTAACATATCTTTTGCGAGTTCATTATCTGAGATGTAGAACGCAGTCACACGCATAGAGAGACACGCACATGCTGGTGTGTGTTTTCACAGCGGTTTGACTAATAAATATGAATTTGTAGCTAAATTGTCAGCAGTGCCAAACAGCATTTCCCGTTGTTTACATCTTTGCTACAGCAGACTGTTAACGCTAGAAATTGTACATGTCATGATCAATTTTAACACATAAAAACACATATAGATTGTGGCTTAGAGTTCACAGCCTCTGCTTGTTGGAGCTGCTCCTTCTCTGAGGAGATTTAACTGAATCCAGCACTGAACTAGGAGAGATTCTGGAAGTTGTGTTTAGTCAAATCATGCTTGCTGTGTTAGGGTTGGGCGATGTTGATCAATTTGGCATCGTACAATGTCTAATGTGAAACATCGCGATGAACGATGCCATTAATAATGAATTAATTAATTGTAGTCTACCATTTTCACTACATGACCCAGATGATCTTTGCTTTACATATAACCAAACCATAAATAAAGTTACAAACAAATGACCACCTGTCAATCCATTTTTTCCGCAGGACTCTGTCATGAATAGGCACAGTGATCTGTGTTGTTCTAATGGCTTTTTCCCAAAGCCGGTGAAGGAGATGAGAGTTTGGTTGGAGTTCACTGTAGTTCATACATTTTCATAGTTTTCCCTGCAAAATCCACACCGCGTGCGCAGATTTAGGAGACATTTATGCAGAATGTATCGTTGCACCTAAAAACGCTAAGCGCAGCACTCAGGAACAGATTAAAACAGTTGTTATGTGAACTTGCTGAAGTAAAAAAGCCAGCAACGCTTGCCCTGCCTTTGTGCTCTTATTAATGGCTCACTGCTCTAGAACTGAACATGAATGATTGGTTAATATCTCCTGTCAATCACTCAGTCAATGCCTTCTGCCTTTAGGACAGGAGCTACAACTGTGAAAATGTGAAGATGAAGATGAGAGAATGAAAATAACAAATAAATAACACATTTACCTACAGTTACTAATAATAGCAGATCTTATTAGTGATCATGTGCTTAATGTTAATCCCCCATTTACAAGAGAGGATAAAAGACTTCCAATGTCCAAAGTCCGCTATGAAAATGACTAAAGCCACTCACTATAAAGTCTGTGGGACGGGGTTTGCAGGTAACAGCATTTTCCATTGAATCTACACAATTTAAACGCAAAAGGAGCTGTATATTCTTTCATTTAATTCTCACGATGTTGTCAGCCGTGCAAGCGGCAGCTATATGTAACATGTACACAGCTCATGAAAAGACCGTTATTAAAAGATGACATGCAAATCATAAGTTGTATATCATCAAGGTCTTCTTTTGCATTGAACTATGAACATT